AGTTGTAACCTTCAATGTAAGGTGAGCCCCTGGTGGCATGCCATGTTCTAATATACTTGAATAAAAACATCACAACTCCCAAGATAGGAACTTTAACTTAAAAAAAAATAAATAAATAAATAAATTGAAAAATATATTTGAAAAAGTCTAATAGATGTTTTTTAAAATAAATATCAAGTCCAATTATATGACCATTATAATTATAGAATTTGGTAATATATTTGATAATTTTTTGTATACAAAAATACCAATATCAACTTAATAGCCAAATTTCTTTTTTATATTAGTAACATATCAGCTTAAATATCATTATAATATCAATAAACTATCAATAAACATTTATTAATATTAGCTTTCTGATAATTTGCTAATATGAATTTATTTAACCTATACAAATTAATAAAAAAAATTTTTTTATTTCTAAAAAATCCTTTTTTAATAAAAATTTAACTAATACTAAACCTATTAGTTTGTTTGAACATATTAAAAAACTTACTATATCCTTAACAATTAACTTAATTACATCTTTATTTATCATAAAATTCTATTACCTTTTAACTATATAGCTCTATGTAGTAATAGCATAGCTATTTTTATATATATTCTTAATAATATTATTAAAAAGGCTTAATGTAACTTCAAACAATTTTGACACTTATCTTAGGACATGAGCAAAGCTTATAATTTTCTAGATATTACATTTTTATCAAATCTTTATTACACTTACAAATGCTATCTAATCTTATTAATATTCTTACTAATTTGCTTATTAATCAATATAATTAGATTATCACAAACTTAGATCTTACTAATTTCTACAATATAAAAAATAGTATTGATTAAGAAGAAACTATAATTCTATTATTTTAGGAATTTATCATAACTCTCTTATAAACAAAATAGTCTTAAACTTTTTAAAAAATACTCTAACAACAAAGTAGAATACTAGTTTGCTTTAATTAAAGTTTCAATAACTTCAAATATCTGATTTGTATTAGTATTTATAAGTAACACTTTTTGAATAACCAAATTCAAAAAAATATTACAATTAATTATCATTACAGGTACTTCTTTTTACCACATAATTAATATTTAAATTAATTTAACTTTACAGTTCTTATTTACTTCTTTTAGCTTATTATTTATATTAAATCCTATTAATCAACTATTCAAATTCTTAAAATCTTGGTTTATACTTAATAACTTATATACAAAACAAAAGTCAACTAATTTATAATAAAATAATTCAACTTATTAATATTACAGGTATCAAAAAAATTATAAACAAACAAACTATAAATATTATTAATACTATAATTATTTCTAATATTAAATATAGATTATATACTATAATTTTTTAAACACTATATCAGTAACAACATTTTATTCAAATACCTTACTATAATTAAACACAAAGCTAAATTCTTTCATACTAGTCCTAATGGCATTATGCTAAACTCTTATATATATAATATATAATATTTGGAACATTTAACTACAATATTATATATTTTGTATTCAATAAAGAATTAACAACTCAGAAATTCTTATTATTTATATTAAAATTAAATTATAACAATTTTAAAACAACTTCTAGTCTGCTACTAATAGTTTTTAATATAGCCAACTATTTATTGATAAACTCAACAAACCTATACTTAATTTTAAAATTATACAATTTTTATAACATCTTAGTATATTTTTTTTACTTTCACTAAGACCATTAGTTATTAACAACTATTGTCTTTATTGTAAATTTAATTATGATTATATAACTTATACAAGGTAACCCATATACTATACTAACAGATAGTACACAAGTTTCTATAAACTGAAATGCTATCTAATCTAATCCAGATCTTTTTGTTTGTATGTTCATCAAGTTATTACATATTTAAAATATAACACCTGACTGTAGGGCTCTAAGAGACCTTTTGCTAACTAACTGCTTAAATTTAATCTTTGTTAACAGGGCTTACTCTTGTAAAATTCATCCAGACCTTAGTACCAACTTTATAGTATATCCCTAATACTTAAGTTATACTTTGCTTTAGTTTTCAGATTCCTAATTCAGATAGCCTAAAAGAATTGTGACCTGTTCTTGATATTCTAAGATCTACAAAGAGTTATCTTTTTCAATTCTTTTTTAAATCACTTACATGCAATCTGAAATTCTTAAATCCAGATAATATATGAAAAAACTTTGTTAAGTATAAACATATTATTAACTATATAATATTTATAGGTTGGTATGTGCAGAAAAAGTTAGTGCAGAGAATTATCAGAAAGAGTTGTCTGTAATTGCATGATATAATCATACTAAAACTAGAAATGAAAGTAAATATAACAGTTAAAAAATAATCCAAATAACATATAAACATGAATTACTCTTGTATCTCAATATATTATAAAGTATTTGATATACACTATAGGTAAATAACCTACATTAGTTAATCAAATAATCAAAACAAAAATTTATAAGATAATATGCAATAAGTATCTAGTTATCAAGTTATTTAAAAATTATTTTACTATTATCTTTGATAATTAATAATCATCATTTAATCAACCCAATAAAAAATCCTACAAAAAAAATTGAAAATATAAATTTTAGATAAATAGACAAATTAACCTGTATTGGGTTACCAACTTTTTCTATCATTATTTATTGTAACTACGACATTGTTTATGCTTTCATTTTTTTTGTATTCAAATTATACTCTGTAATTACATATCTGAATGCACTTTGACAACATCGAATGGTGAGTCAGTCGCGCCACAATGGGGTTCGTCATGTAACTTACGAATCAGCTTAGTCGAAATAGGTGTGTTAGATTCGTAGATATTATGATGTAGTGAAAGCAGGGAATTATTAGGAGACGAATTTATTGATCAAAGCTATAAATGTTTTCTTCGTAGGACTAAAAGCCTTTATTATATACTTTCTTTTACATAGAGCACATTACTCACTCTATTCGTGATATATCACTTTTATTACTTATAATATCTATACTAATTAAAATGTTTATAATTATACCCTTTTCCCTATGTATTACCCCTATAATGCTGATATCCCTTACAGAACCGATACAGCAAATATCGTGTATGCTGCCGGTAAACCTATTTTAGGTAGATGATGTTTATTCATTACTGCGCCACTAGCGATAGTTTCATGCATCCATTGTCATAATTCCATTTATGCGCATTTTATCCATCACCTGCTTTTACGGGCTTCCGGAGTTACCGTCCTACAGCTCACAACATGTGATCGATATGCGTAATGAATTCATGTGTGAAAAATAAGCAAAATTTGATGAATAAGTTACGCGGACCAATCAAACTTAAGATTTCACAGACAGATACAATTTTAAATTACACGATAAATTATCAAGTTTGTAAATAAATTATTATTTTGAGCAAAAAGCTAATATATTTAAAAAGCAATTTATACGATAAAATTTATGTGTAAGTTACTCTATGGGTAACAAGATTAAATTTCAAGATTTATATAATTAAAAATTTCACTATCTTGCGTATTAACTTGCACTAATAATTTTTTTTAAAAAAACGTTTAATTACTGTATATTCAGGTTCAGTTTTTTTAGAAATAAATATTAGGTTACCTGTATTCACTGTATTCGATAACTTAGAAAGTTTTTGAGATTTAGTAGTAGCTTTTTTGTCTGTTTCATATTTGAGCTCCTCTGATTTATGCTGATTATTAGCTGATAAGTTATCAATTTCCTTAATTTGCTTATACAAAAATTTATCTTCATCAGTTAAGTCTTGTCTATATTGTTTCAACTTATCTACTAAATCTTTAGTACTAGGTCGCTTCTGAGGTTCGGCAACTAAACACTCGTTCATTAAATCTAGAAGTAGCTTAGGAATTTCGCGTATGATTTTAGGTCTTCGTCCGTTACGAATTTCTTCTATTAGGGCAAGATTATGTGGACAATCATAATATGGGGGACATCCATTAAAAATTTCCGACATTATTATTCCATAAGAATAGATATCTGATTTTTGAGTGTTTCCATAATTTTTATTACTAAGCAACTCTGGAGCAATATATGGAAGTGCGCCATATATTTCTTTAGTGCTTGAACCTTGGTTTACTGGCTTGCATAATCCAAAATCGGTAATGTAAGCATTATATAAATCATCCTGAAATATATTTCCACTGTGTAAATTACAATGAATAATATTATGCGAATGAATCGATTGAAGGTCGAATGCAATGTAAGATAATAAATTTAGTTTTTTGGCCCAATTCATTTGCACAATATTGTGAAGATTTTTATATAAAGGTCCCATTTTTGCATACTGCATTACTAAAAAATCATCACCGGTGTCAACTTTTAATAAACCATGACATTGTAGAATTGTAGAGTTTTTAGATGCAATACTATAAAACTTGTTTATCTTTATAAATTGAAGTATTAGTAAAATTAAAAGTTTAAAATGCATCAATATAAAGAATTTACCTCTGAATAACTGTAAAGATCTTTGCAAAGCGATTTAATTGCAACAGGTTGTGTTAAACTGCCGGATTTCCACCGTGCTAAATAAACATTTTCCCCAATTTTTCCATAAATTTCTACTTCATTAAATGGAATTTGTGGCACTCGATATTCGTTTTTACACAAAAAATCTTCGACATAAAATTCCGTTTCATAACTACGCTTATTAACCTTTGCCTTACGTAACCACTCAGCGGCTTTTTCGAAATCTTGAGATGTTCCATTGCCATTCCGATAGCAATAGCCAACTTGATGCATTCCGTTTGAATAACCCATCTCTGCAGATTTTTGATAATAAGTGAATGCCATATATTCATCCTTTTCAATTCCAATTCCATTTTGATAACAATATCCTACATTACACATTCCACAAGCATCGCCCATATCGGCAGATTTTAAATAAAAAGTAAATGCCTTATGTTCATCCTTTTCAACACTGATCCCGAGGCGATAACAATAACCAATACTACATATGCCATTAGTATTACCCATTTCAGCAGATTTTTGATAATAAACGAATGCTTTTTGTTCATCCTTTTCAACACCAACTCCATTCTGATAACAATAACCAACATTATATATACCACTAGCATCACCCATATCAGCTGATTTTTGATAATATATAAAAGCCTTATGTTCATCTTTTTTGACGCCAACTCCATTCTGATAACAATAACCAACGCTGCATGTTCCAACAGCATCGCCCATATCTGATGATTTTTGATGATACATGAAAGTCTTGTGCTCATCCTCATCAATATTTGCATTTTTGATACTCAATTCTTGGAAGCTAATATCTACGAGAATTGTATTCTGAAGATCTGTAAATATGAAATCTGCGCCTTTAATACATGCGTTTCGGAGGTTTACATTTCGGAGATTTGCCCTCCTAAAATTCACATCTTGAAGAATTGTATTTCGAAGATCCGCAAATGAGAGATCTGCACCTTCAAAATATGTATTTTGGAGAGACAAACCTCGGAGGTTGATATTTTTAAGCTTCGCATTCTCAAAATTCGTATATTGAAGAATCGTATCCCGGAGATCTGCAAATGAGAGATCTGCACCTTTTAAATGTGCATTTTGGAGTGATGAACCATGGAGATTTGCTTTTTGAAAATTCGTATATTTAAGTTTCGCATTCTTAAAATTTACGTCTTGGATAATCGTATTCTGAAGATCAGCATATGAAAGATCTGCGTCTTCAAAATTCGTATATTTAAACCTTACATTCTTAAAATTTACGTCTTGAATAATCGTATTCTGAAGATCAGCATATGAAAGATCTGCGTCTTCAAAATGTATGTTTTGGAGGTATAAACCTCGGAAATTTGCATTTTGCAGATTTGCATTTTGAAAGTTAGCATCTCGGTGAGTTGAGCTTTGTAGATCTGCATTTTGAAGCCTTGCATTATGAAAGTTAGCACTTCGGAGATTTGCATTTTGGAGATTTGCATTTTGAAAGCTTGCACTTCGGAGATTTGTATCTTTAACTCTTGCGTTTTGGAAATTTACATTATCTAACTTGGCTCTTTCCGCTTGTAAATTATTAAGTATCTTATTACTCAAATCTGCCCCCGAAATATTAGTATCATTTAAATCATCTATTAATACACCTGCTTGTGCTAAAATTGTGATAGCATTGGCAGAAGCAACTTGAACATCATCATTTTTTTTAGAAGCATCAATAAAAGCTAGTAACTGTGGTTTAAAGGTTTCTGCTTTTTGAGAGATATGTTCAGTTAAAAATTGGCGAACTCCATGCTCCAGCACAAATGATTGCTCTTTGAAGAGCGTTGCATGTATTGGAGATTCTAATGATTCCATAAATGCCAAAGCTATCAAGTGGTCTCGCAAAGTTTTATGAAGAAACCAATATTGATTTTCACGTCGGATTAATGGCATACTAAAGCACAACAAGGAACTCTCAACATCTTTATTGCCTAAAAAGGCTTCCCAATTCGAATTATAGGTTATAACAACAATGTTATTATCTACAAACATTTTTGCAGCAAAATTTTTACCAAATTGTAGACAAGTTTCTGAAAAATTATTAATATTTAAGTTTTTAAATGCTTCCTCTTCTTTCTCTGTTTTACGAATTTTATACAGACGATCTTGCGCATGGTCAAACCACATCTTTAAAAATTCATCATATAAAGGTATACGATTTACCTGAGTTGTTCTCTCTTGTTTTATAAAGCGTGGTAAGACTTCCAAAGTAATCTTTAACAGAATTGGATTGCTAATCAATTCATTTGGTATCTTTTTTATTTGCTGTAAATATGTATCTTCACTCAAATTTAGCAGGTGACCTTTTTTTTGAACATATTTTATAATATATTGTTTTATTTCTTTTTCTGAAAATGTTTTAATTGTTAATTCCTGAAATCCTTTTTCTCCATTTTTGGGAAAAAACCTTTTTTGGTAACCTGAGCCCAAATACTCTGGTCGACAACTAATAATGACTTTTGCATTTTTCCATTTACAAAATTGATTTTGAATGTAGAAATGACGTTCACGTTCAACAATCTCATCATAGCCATCTAAAATAAATACAAACTTTCTTTCCCGTAAAACATTAAATTTATCTGGAGTTAATTTGCACTTTTCTTTTAAATAAAGTTCAATAAAATCATCATCATTATTAAACATTCCATTTTTTAGTCGTGCTAATGGTATAAATAAAGGAATAGGAGAAGGTGAAGGTGATAACTGGTCATATTCTTTCCATAGATGACGAGCAAGATAACGGCTAAAAGTTGATTTACCCGTACCACCTATACCCAATATCATTAGTACCTTTTTACATTTTAAGGCAACTATTTTATCAACAGTTGTTTCTAAAATTTTCCTGGCTTTAGAAGCTAATTTATTCACCGCACTTTCAAACCCATTTTTATCATTTAAGTTTAGACATTTATTTGCTTCTATTTTCAGAAATTCTACATCTTCATTCTTTATGATTTTTGGATTCTTCTTCAAAATGTTAATCAACGCCTTTATTCGGTCTTCTTTATATTTTGAAGAATACACGAATTTGTTGGTTATTGTCTTCTCAAGCTCTGGAACTTTATTAACTTTTAAATCCAAAAATTGATTTGCAGCCTTGTTTATAACTCTTTCATCTTCTAAAGTTAATTGATTCTCCAGAGCAAAAAAACTATTAACAGTCTTTATTACAGTTTCATTCAAAAGCTTATTAGTATCTATTTCTGAAATTTCTTTTCCATTTGAAGTTAATTCATCCTTTAATTCTAAAAATCTATTGACTAACTCATTGGCAGCTACCTCCAAAGCTTCTTTGCCGTTTGAAGTCAGTTTATCTTTTGATTCTAAAAATCTATTAACTACTTCTTCTACATCACCTTCTCTGTTTTCGGAAACCATTTCTTTTCCAGAATAGGATGACTTTATAATTGATACTTTCCATGTTCCCTGTGGGTTGACATACAATTCCAAGGCTTCTTCACATTCATCATCTAAGTCTGAAAAAAATTGATCTTTTAATCCATTTAATTGAGTTGATAATTCTCTTCTACTTTTTTTCAAGTCATTCTGCTGAGTGGGTCGCACATATTTGTCTAATAAAACATCACTAAGTAAAGCAGTTGGAAATGATAAAGCAGATGTTTGTGCAGATTTCGATAAAGTTTTTAATTCTATATGTTCCAAAATCCATTCATTTAGTTTAGGATGAGTACTCCAAAATTCTTTGTTTTGACAAATGTTATTTAAAAAATCTATAGCGCCTTTACGAATGTCAATATCTAAATTGTAATTTGCCGCTAATTGTTCAAGTCGTACACATAAGCCCCATAAAAATTTGTCATTTTGACGACACGGAATTTTGTAAATAAATTGCTCCAAGCTTGCAAATTTATGACTTTGGATAAATAAATCAGTAAACCTTAATGCCCGATACCATTCGCGTTGGATTTCCCAACTGAAGCTCAGTTTTATATCGTTAACACCCTCTTTGGCTGATTGAATCTCCTTAACCAAGTCTACCAATTCTACTGCCATATTTATAATACCTTCGAACCCTTCACTAAGATCTTTGAAAGCATCTGGTAATTTTCCTGGGTCAATATTCTTGACAGCACCTGCCAATTTTGTTGTCCCTAGAATGATTTTCCCTCCTCGTCGTTGAAATGCCTTCCACGGACTTTCATCATTTGGTATACAATTTAAAGCTTGACAGGCGTATTTTGCGTGATAGGCTAGCTCTTGATTACTACTATTTTGTAGTTTTTTAAAAGTATTATATAATGGTTTGTATAATTCTTCATATTTAAGATCCTGTACTTCACAATCAGTCATCACATCAAATAACCGCCCCAATGTTCTCGTCATTTCAATCTGCTGATCCTTATTTTGTGTATGAAGATTTTTAAATTTTTTATTTAATATTTCTAAAATATTAACCAAATCATTGGGATTTAGGTGTTTTGGATTTGCCTGACTGATAATATGAGATAAACCTTCCAACAATGGCTGATGTAACAAAATTGATTTTTTAATTTTATAAATAAAACGCTCCATTAAATTTTTATAAATTTCTTCCTCGACATCTGGTAAATGTGATAACACCATCACTTCATGTACCGATTCTAAAGTTATAGATTCTCTTTTAGCAAATCTCTCAATAATTTCTTGTGCCAATCTGCATAAATTCTTCTTTTGTCCATCTGATATATCATTTCGACATAGCTCACAAGCCAATTGTTGGGTATTGCTAGGTTCATCATCTTCATTCAGAGGTAGAATTTTCTCTGAAATATAATTTTTCTTAAAAAATTTATTTTCAATAAAGTATTGGGGGTCGTCAGATTCTTTATTCGTCAAATGACCCCTTTCGGATAAATAAAGTTCTTTTAAAACCTCTTCATATTCTTTGCGTGCCTTTGTTAAGGTTTCCTTGATATCACTAGAATTTGGATGATTTTTATGGGCTATTTCGAAGTTACTAATAGCGTTTTTGCATAACAAAGCTGAAGATGCAAGGTTTTGGCTTTTTTGGTCATGCGCTTCGTTTAAGCATTTTTGGCCTTTTCCAAAATGGGTTAGATTGGCAGTAAACGGATTCTTTGAAAATGTTTTATATGCCTTGTCCCAATTACCTTTCATTTCTCGAACCCATAAAGAATTATTTATTTTATTTTTCCAGACAAATTGCAACCAAGTCAGTAATTATAAAATTTAAGAACAATCGAAAATTTATATAAAATTATTATCTGCAGTCAAACCTAAGATTTGTAAATTATTTACAAATTTGATTCTTGTTCTTTTCATGTATTTTTTGAAAATCTGTGCACTACATACAAAAAAGGAAATTACAATAATAAGTAGCTGCGCAACGTTGTCGCGCAAAACAAGGAACGGGAGAAATCTATACAGGCTCTAGAGATGGGCACGCACGGGATTTTTAATATGATCCCGAAATAAGATTATCTGGCCTGCATTACCATAATATCTGGCTAGCATAAATATAATA